TCCCCAGTGACAAACTTCCTCCAGCAAGGCCACACCTACTCCAACAACAAGCCCACACCTCCTAATCCTTCTAATGTTTTCAAACAGTTCCACTCCCTGGTGACTTGGTATGGTACTTTGGATGTATGTGGCTCCCATAAGCTCATGGGGAGTGGCACTGTTAGAAGGTGTGGCTTTGTTGGAGTAGGTGGGGCCTTGTTGGAGGAAGTGTGTCACTGTGGAGGTGAGCTTTCAGGTCTGTCTCCTTTGCTCAAGCTTCACTCCGTGTGACACTCAGACCACTCCCTGTTGCCTGTGGGTCAAGATGTACAGCTCTCAGCTCCTTCTCCAGCACAATGTCTGCCTGCACGCCGCCGTGTGCCACCATGCTGATAATGGACTAGACCTCCGAAACTGTAAGCCACCCCAATTAAATGTTGCAATAGAAACTATAACTAAGACACCAGCATTCAAATATATGAGCCCGTGGGAGCCATTCTTATTCAAATTACCACAGGGCTTGATATTGAAGGAAAACCTTCCAACCAAAGTGTTGTAGTTATGAGTCAGAGTGGATCTGAGTGAGGCAGAGAGCCAGCTGGTACACTGCCCGGTAGGGAGAGCAAACAGCCTCCAGCAGGAAAGACAAGGGAGCCTAAGTTGGACATCCCCAGTTATGGAACCACTGTCCTGTCCCCCTGAGTTCTCATTTTGAAAAATGAACACTCTGGCCGAGAGGTCTCGCACTTTAATGGAGTGGCTGGCAGTGTGATGAGAGACCTCAGCGACCACGATGAGAATTTAACTGTGACCTACTTCTCCCACACTCACGACTAATTACAGGACAGCATGTCAGCTGGCACACGCAAGTCACTGTCAAGCACAGCAGGGTGGAAACTGCTCACACAGATGCTCCATGAAAAACCGTGGCTCTCATCAGTCTCAAGGTCTCCCGGCTTTATTCTGGAACAGTGTTAATGTGCAGGCCCCTGTCATGGGGTGTAAGCAGACAGGACCGGGCGATGGCTCGGTTAGCAAAGTTCTTACTGTCCCAGCATGAGGACCTCACTTCAGCCTCCAGGAAGCCATGTAACAAAAAAATCAGGCATGGCCGTGGGGGCTGTAACCCTAGACACAGGAGGGTCCTGGGGGTTTGCTGGCTAGTCAGTCTAGCTAAATCAGGCAGTCCCATGTTGAGTGGATGTCCGTGTCTCAAAAATTAGATAACACAATAGAGGAAGACATTTACTATGCACTTCTCGACCTCAAGGGAACATATACAAGTATGCATGCACATGCATACAAAGATGTAAGCGGATGTTCTTAGTAACAAATTTTGGAATCCTTCCCCCCCCCCCGACAGCTGACAAGTATATGGTTTTATATGAAATGGCCCAAGGCTCTTGGGATCCAGGCTTGGTGTACATCTAAAGGTACCACCTGGAGCTGACTGGATCTTTCACCCATGGGTTAATTCGTTCTGAAGCCCTGTTGGGAGGCAGTGCTAGCCTGCATGGGGGAAGCAGTAACCGAAGGCTGCTTTTCCAGGGAGAATCTTGTTTCTGGCCCCTTCTTGTCTCTCCAGTCCCCTCCTCTCCCCCTCCTCCCTTACTCGGTGAGTATTGTCTCATCACAGACTCAGAAACGACGGAGCCAGCTGGCATGGGTTAACATCTCTAAAGACCCACACCAAAGTAAACATTTCCTCCTCTAAGGGTTTGATACATTGTCACTGTGACAAAAGCCCGAGTAACACACCAAAGTTCTGGCCAGTTAGCGGAAGTCCCCCTAAGTTACTGAGTTACGGGAGACAGATCTACCCCTGGAACTTCTATCTTCCGTCTTCTGTGCCAACACTTTCCAATGCTCGGCCATGCGTATTCATTGACTTTACCAGTGAGCTGTCCTAACACATTGCGCCCAGCCAAAGTTCGCTGCCAGTCATTGAGAGCTGAGGGGAGCCCGAAGCCTCCTTCATCAGCCGCAGTACATAGACCGCTAATTGCCTTCCTTACACCAGCGCTGTATGCCTGCAGCCACACCGTACCTGGTGACATAGAAGCCTGCTAACTGTGCCAAACCCTTCTACAGAAATGATTTGTGCAAACAGCCTTTGTTTGGCTCGGGGTGTCTAGTGGCTGTGCGCAGCTGTCCCAGATTCCTGGGAGCTCTTTCCTGTGATCTCTTGTATTTTTCTTCCATTCTTCCATGCTCGGGCAGCCTGCAGGCAATCTCGGGCTGCACAGACCTAACTTACTGATGCTCGGGTGAAGCAGAGGTTTGTGCCCCACTCGAGCTTTTGAGGCCTACATCGGTGGGTGCAGCCGGCGCTCCAGGCTATCCTCGGATGAGGGCGAGCTGAGCTGATTGAACGCACCACCACATTAGAGTCAGCTGCTCACAATCAAGCGATGTGCTCACGGCCGGTCAGTTTTGACAAGGAATAATATAAATCTGTGACTTTTTAAATAGAAGCTGAGCTGGGAGACCGGAGGCCATTGAGAACCAAGCGCTTGCAAAAGTGAGTTACTCAGAGGAGATCTCGGCTTTCTCTTTTTTTCCCACATCTGAGGACCGGCTGTCTCGCCGGTGAAAAGGAAGTCAGTGTATGTGTTTCTAGGCCGATGGGCCCTTTGGGTGTTTCTGGGGGTAGAAATAGCTTCAAGTGTTGGCATGCATCTCGGGATCCTGGCCAGGAGTCCTTTCTCACCCTCAAGCTGGCATCTCTTGCACAGTAATTACTGAGATAACCTTTCAATGAACGTGTAGTCCTCCCAGCATGCTTTGCTTTTCCGGGCCAACAATTCATTCCTGTGAAAAGTCGCGGTGGAAACATCAGGGGCTTCTTCTCATGGGCAGCGAGAGGGCTGATAGACACACACCACTGATTCCACCGTCTCTGGGGAGACAAAGATCGAAAGCTGGCTGCCACGCGTTTATTTCAAGTGAGAGTTTGAGTCTCACCCTGACCGGAGAGAAGCAGCGGCAGGAAGCAAACACTCAGGAGGTGTTTGTGGATGTAATTATGGGGTATCAGTTCTGCAAGACCGCACAGGTAGGGGTGTGCTGAATTTAGCAGGTTGCCTGATTGGTGTTCACCAGTAGCATCCTACGGATGCTAAGCACTGTACCTGGCAGGACCGTCTTGGTGTTTGGCCTGGAAATCAACAGGAGACAAGAAGCTCGTTTGTCTCAGTCCTCAAGTACTGCTCAGCATCGTTAATAAGCCAGTCTCTCTACGTTTGCTGGGACCAGAGGTGGCAGATCTGCTGGAGCCTGTGGAAGACAGCTTTCCTTTTGTGGTTACAACCTGTGTGATATACTTCCACATTGACTCATAGCTGCTTCGAAAGATTTTTGTTGTAACGCATTTCAGCATAAGCCATGATGGCTGTGGTTCTCATTTAAAATTGATAAGTCACATTAATTAAATGATTGCTAAAGATTCCTCCAACAAGATCCCCAGAGATGGAGCAGGCAGAGTGCCTTCTGGATTGACAGTAGCCTGTAAATGGGCTTCAACTGGAATAAACAGCTTCATTCAGAAGTTTAAGGATTGCCTGTGGCTACTTTCAGGCTGTGATAAAAATTTAAATAAGAGGTGAAATTGCCCCCAAAGCTCAACACATTGACTATGTGGCCTTTTAAGGAAGCCATCAGGCCCTGCTCTACAGCAATGTCCAGGGCCGTATGTTGTCAGTAGCTCCAAACCCTAGTATTACTTAAATGCAGTGATCCTTCAGAGAGTGACAGCAGTAGAGGTATCAAACCCATGGGAAACAGACAAACCCAGCCTGTGGGCATGTGCCCTTCCGGCAGAATAATCGCGTTTTTCTTAATATCAGGACATTATGCAATCGGGAGGTGTCCCATAATTTCTTGGAAATTTGGCCACTCCAGCCACCCTGACCCACTCTCCTGTGTAGAAACCATGCTCTGCCTTGGTACAGTGCTCACGACTCCCTGTTGTCTCACCACCATTAACAATGTCAGATACTTCCTTCATGCTCTGGTCCTTTGGGGCCCACACCCCAGAAGGCATTAGTAAATATTATCACAGAAGTTTGCACCCACAAACCAAAATGAAGATTCTTTGCTTTGGGCTTGAGCTCTCTCTGGTTACTCTCCAGTCCTGGCTTTGTCCATAACTGCGTCACTATGGACTATTGCAGCCTTCTGATGATGACGACATTAATACATCAAATGGAGGGAAATCATAAAATTGTTGCTTCATGATGCGAAATTGGGGAGCGTTGCCATAAGATAGCTAAGAAAAGAGAAGGCTATTGCCATTTACCATTAGAGACACGACGTTTCTTTTCTGATCATTGGTAGCTAGTTCACACTGAACTGTCAAATGACGGAAAGTCCAGTCACTTTGCCATTCTGATAGCTCCTTGTATCAGTCAGGGTTCTCCAGAGGAACAAAATCAACAGTTGTAAGAAATAAAATCTTACCTTTTTTTTCAAAGGTGCCTTGAGCCAACTTAGGCCTAGCTACAAATAAACAGAAAACACTGGGCCCCTGCTGAGGCCTAATAATTTAGCTATTTTCCCTCATCTCACACAGCAGTTGAGGGTGGAAAATTACCACCAGTCAGGTTTGTCTTCAAGGTCATACATCTGCTGAGCTTTCAGATAAATGGTATAAAATGTAGAGATAAACCCACCCACTTTTTTTCTTTTTTTTTTACTGAGAAAAAGACAAACCTAAGTTACAGAGGGAGAGATAATGCCTAAGTAACATGTAAGATGGTAATTTCCTGATTATTAAAGAGGGGACAGGTCACACATTCAGGTTTTATAAACCATTCTCTGCAGTTAACCAGGGCACCTGTGACTGTAGGCAGGCACCTGGATTCACAGGATTGTGAAATAAGTGTCTGGAGTTCACTACTTTAGGTCTCCATGGTGCTTATTATGAAGTGAGGGCCATTGCTTCTCACAATAGGATAGAGCGAGTGAGTGAGCGAGGGGGGGGGACAGTGGATTGTAAAGAAGGGATTTATTAGGCTGGTCCAGCAACGGCTTCCTAAATGTGGAGAGCCACAGAGCCCTGTGGTTGCTGTTTCCAAGAAACCAGAAACCTCAGAACAAGGTGGGCCAGTGACAATGTCTCTGGGGATGTTGAAAGTCCTCAAGGAGTGAGCCACACTGAAAGGTTGCTATACCAAAGGGTGGTGGCGGCGATAGATGCACTGGCTTAGGAAATAAGTTTGTACACGTTGGCTGGATTTATCCTTTTGCTGCCTTTTCTTTTTCCCAACAGGGGCTGCAGACTGTTCACAGATATCATTCCCACTTGGGGTATGGCTTTTTCCATCAATTACTGCATTTCTGTCAGTCATCTCTAGAAATCCCTCACAGCCAGAAGTGTGCTTCATTAATCTCTTCCAGGAAGCTCTCAATCTAACCAAAGGGATGATCATGATTAACTACCATTCTCATCCACGAGGAGGCGTCCTTCTGACTTGCCGATTCCCTCCACTCACCCCTCAGGGATCTCTGAGTGAACTTTGTGCAGAATGGGATGGTGGGCTCCCCACACGGAGCCAGCCACCCAGAATGCCTGTTTAAGAATTCACACTCCCGAACCCACCTGAAACCATCAGGCTCACAAGCCTTCACCCTGGAAGCTGTGGTCCACACATCTGCAGTCTGTCATCTATACTACAACTTTGACAATTACTTTCCTTTGGGATTCCAAAGATAAAAGTATGTCTTTGATCCTAGGACTTTGGAGGCATTGGCAGGTGGATCTCTATGAATTTGAGGCCAGCCTGGTCTACCAAGAGAGTTCCAGGACAGCCAGAGCTGTTACACAGAGACAGCTTGTCTGGAAAAACCAAACCAGACAAATGTAATTAAAAATGATTTGTGTGTCCATGTGTAGGTATGTACTTGTGAGTGTGGATACCAGCACCCATGGATCAAAAGAGAATGACAGATCTCTGAGGATGGAGCTGTAGGTGTCTGTTAGCAGCTTGATGGTGCCAGGAACAGGACTCTGGTTCTCCAAGGGCATCAAGTGCTCTTAACCCCTGAGCCATCTCTACAGCCCCTATTTTTGCCTTTTGAATACAACTGAACACTTTCCTGACATCTCGAAGATTTACTTGCTTTGCATTCCAAGAGGAGAAAAAAAACATTGACTTTTTAAATTAATTGTAAAAAAATCATAATTACATTTCTCTCCCATCTGCCTGTTTATACAGTTTAGCACTGAAGGGGTTTAGTTCCATATTTAGAACCTACTACAAGTTTGAGGCACAACTCCTTCCCCCCCCCAAATCCTGCAACTAACCGAAAACAAACTTCAGCAGCCAGTTAGCATAAAAAGGCATCTGGGGTTTGGCGGTGGTGCATGTCTCTAATCCCAACATTCCAGAAGCAGAGGCCTGTGGATCTCTTTGAGTTTGGGGCCAGTCTGGTCTACATGGCAAGTTCCAGGCCAGCTACAGCTACATAGTGAGATCCTGTCTAAAAATAAAACAATAACAGAACAGGCATTTGGGTGCCATCTTCAGCATGGTAGGCAATGACTTGGATTTGGCACTAGATGCGAAGATACTTGAAGAGGTAAGCATTGGCTGCAGCAAAGCTGGGGACTGGGGGGACAAAGCCAGCTAGCTCAGCCTTCTGTATTTTCGTATATGTCAAGCGATACTGTTCACATCTTTTTAAAATGCAAAGTGGCGTAGTTAGAAAATGAAGCCTCCAAAAGTCTTGGCTATTTCTGTGTGAAAAATCATGAATACAGTTACAGCTCTATTTTATTTTTAGGATCCTTCCTAAGTCACTGGGGACTCATCCTGAGATACCATTGAAGGTGTCCAGCAGCCTCTGAATGGATCTTGGATGTTTTGAGGCTCGCATCTTTAGTTTCAACACGACAGAAGTTTGGGGACTGCCCACTGAATGGCTGGAGTGACTGGCCCTTCCTGGCTCTCACACAAACATCCTCTTTATTCTAGTAGTTCTTTACTCTTTGCTTGTTCAGGTAAAGCATTTTTCTTTTCCTTTGGGTGTGTGTGTGTGTGTGTGTGTGTGTGTGTGTGTGTGTGCTGTGTGTGCACACACATATGAAACCTGGGTACATATATCACGGTGCTCAGTGGAGGTCAGAGGAGGACACCTTTGTAACCAGCTCTTGCCTTCCACCGCCCTGTGTGTCTGGGGCATCGTCGGAGTTAATGAAGGAAATGACCCTGAGTTTGATTTCAGATGTGGCATTTACCGTGATGGAATGCGGGTGAATATAAAAATAAAAAACAAAGAACAGGCTGGCTTCTTTTTCCCAGTAATAAAATTGCCTGGGCTGAGCCCCTAACAGAAAGAGACAGGTGAAAGGCAGGAATGGGAATTAGCTTTCCTCACCATTCTTGAGGAACAGCCTGGCATTTAGCTGGAGGCAGCTACTGTAAAAAGATTTGTGGCAGTGACTTCGAAGAAGAAATGAAATGTCAGGGCTTCTTTCCCCATAGAGTGGTGTCAGGTCAGCGCAGGTGACACCATTCACCATGGAATCTGCTGAAAATCTATTTTAGAGGGTATTTTGTCAATTTAGCAAGGATGCTATGGTACACAGCCAAGTATGAACTAATGAGATGCTGTGTGAACGTGTTGGTTGATGTGGGCGCTGAGTGCAAAATGATCTGTTAAAGAAAAGTAAACAGAACTTAAAATAGCACAAATATCCGTATGCCAGCTCCATAAAACATGCTCATTTTTAAATGCTGAAAGAGTTTGGAGTAGCAAGTGGATTGGGCCGGATTCCTCTTTAAGGTGCTCGTCTTAGCTCTCCAGTACTATGATGTGTAATCTTGATTGCATTGGAAAAAACAGCCAGAAGGGTTGACAAGCAGGTCTCTGGTTGAATCTGTGAAGATTAACTAAGGGCAACGGACCCACCCTGAATGTGGGTGCATGGTATCATCATGTGAGTTGGGACCCAGTTGGAATCAAAAGGAAGAGGAAAGCCTGCAATGCAGGCGGTCTCTCTCAGCTTCCTGGCCACCATGCTGCGAGCTGCTCTCCCTGCCACGATGGACTGAGACCTTTAGAACTGTGAGCCCAAAGAAATCTTCCATTGTTTCCCTCACCTATTCGTCACAATGGAAGAGCTGACCAGCTGTGACAAATTACCTGAGACAAACAACGTAGAAGGAAAGGATTATTCTGACTCACAGTCCATGGATCAAAACCGCCTATCATTTGGGGCTTCATGGTGGTCGGGAAGCAAAAGGAGAGAGAGGAAGGGGCAGGGTTCTGTGTTAGTTCCTTGTCCTATTGCTGTGATAAAAAGAAATACCTACACAACAGCAACTTGGGGGAGGAAAGGATCATTCTAGCTCAGGGTTCAGTCAAGGGCTCATTCCATCATGGCAGGGAAGCCACAGCAGCAAGCAGGGAAGGCACGGAACAGGAAGTCAGGTGGCGACACTGTAGTCACAGACAGGAAGCGGAGAATGAACAGGAAGTGAGAACCTCCATGACCCACTTCTTCCAGAAAGGTTTAACTTCTCACAGGTATCATCGTCTTCAAAAAGGACAGGCCATCTGGGGGCCAAGTGTTCAGAAACATGAGTCTAGGGGTGGAGGGGCATTTCACATTCAAGTTACAAGTCAGGACAGCCCCTTCAAGGGTGCTCTCCCAAATGACCCAACTCCCTCACACCAGGTCCCACCCCCTAAATGCTCCACAAAAGCACCACAGGCTGGTAGGAAAGCCTTTGGGAGACCTACTCCAGGGAACCCAGACAGGTTATTTCACTTCCTCAGTCTTCTCGTCCACAGAAAAACATAAATAAATAAAATTTAAATGGACAAAACAGAAGAGCTCTGAAGTTCGGTGAGACATGAGGGTTAGGGTTGAAGCATCTTTACCAATTTGGGTCTTTAAAGTAACTCGCCACCAAGAGTTCTCTGGGGGTGTCAATCTGCAGAACACAAGATGCTTTTAGCCGGGGTACCTATGCCAACTCTGCGTTCTAAAGAGCACCCCTACCCCCTGTGGCTTTTAATCCTAGAAGTTCAACACTTTTGCAAGGTGCCTGGTGGATCAACCACTGCACGGGCTGTAATGAAATCTACCGTGGACCCTAAAGCACTCTTCATGTGTGAGCCACCCAAGCGTCACATGCTTGGCACTGGGATTAGCTGAGAGGACAAAGGGAAGCCACTGCTGACTTGGCTGAAACTGGATCTAGGCTTGGGTCAGCTGACGGATGTGTCAAGGGACCCTGTAGCGGATGGCTTGACTCACCGCCCGGGCCCAAGCTGCCATCAATCTCTCTCGCAGTAATCAGATTGTGTTCCCCATTTCTTATCTTAAACTAGGGCAAGGTCGTGTCCCTGGAGGCTGCATTTAGAATCTACTTTGATAGGCATATTGCATTTACTGCACTGTAGGCTCCGCCCATCCATGCCCCCCCCATTACAAAGTTTAAACAAAGTTCAGTGTTGGAAAGGTGTGGCCTCCAGAAGGACACAAGCAAGAGTCCTCCATCCATGGAGAGGCCTTAAGGAACCAGAGATTTCATCTAAGTACCACACAGGCCTGTTCCATTGTCATGTTTCTCAGACAGCGTTCAGTAAGGATCTACTCTGTGACTGGCATGTGTCGGTTGAAAAAGCAGAGTTGTCTCTTTAGGGAGGCCTGGTAAGATCAGGTGTCCTGGACAGAGACATTCAGATACTGGGTCTTAGGGGGCCCTTGCTCAGTGAGAAAGACACTTTTTAGACCACAGGGTCACTGGATTTGGGGGGGAGTGGTCTTGAGGATAGCCATAATGGACAAAAACACAGTCGATCCGTGTGGGAGACACTGCCCTAACTTCTAGGGAACAGAAAGTCAATGTGAAAGAATTAAACCCAAATCTTTACATTTCCAGCAGCTGTACACAAGGTTTGCTACTCATTTACATTTGGTTGATTTTAGCTGCTCACCATATTAAATAGACGCTGTGTGTGTGGCAGGCATTCTTCTGAAATCATCACGTGGGAGACTTGGTTCTCATGGCAACTTACCATTATATCCAGAAGGAAACTGAGGCACGCAGAAAGGAAGCAACTTGTCCACGGCGAGGAGACAGGTAAACAGGCATGCAGCCCCAGGACTGGCACGCCCAGCCACTAGCTGGGATTGTCACTCTATCCAGGGCTCTGAGGGCTACGGAAATAAGCATGGTTCAGTCTCCCAGCTTTGACTCCAGGGTATAGGTTCTCAAGAACTATAGTACGGACTTGAGGGGGAGGATATTGGGGATCTTTTAACTTACCTAATGCACTGGGGTGTTTATTTCTCAGAAGTTTTATCGCAAACCCACTTGAACTGGCCTATGTAGTCAGAGTGAGTTTCAGGTGTACCTGTGAACATGAGCCTTGGCCCCAGGCTTCATGTTTCTGCTTGGTCAGGTATCTTTCTATCTACAGGAGTTGCCACAAGTTCATGACTTCCTATGTGTCCTTCAGGACAACTCAGGAGGCCTTCAGAGGATGACTGGCCAGCATTAGGCCTTATGGGCAGTCCTCAGGAAGCCAACTGAGCTCTTGTGAGATCTGTTTCTGAAAGGTAAATAATGCCCTTGCAAAGACCTGAGGTATGAAAACAATAGGGGCATACCTCTGAAGGATGGTGGATGGTTATTTACAACGGTGAAAATTATCTGGGCACGCCCTACAAAATCTGAGTTTGCAGACTTGGATCTCAGAAAGGGTGGCATTTCTAGTTAGTGCCTCAATTGTTAAAGTGAAAAGAGGAAACAGATTTTGTAAACAGCTTCCTGCAATTATCTTATGAGTTCATCTGAGTTACTATTTATAAACAGAAGGGTGCTCAAAATGGCAGCCACACCCACTTTTGACAGCTAACATCATCTCTAACAACACACCTTGCTGTTCACGTGGTAAGTAATATGACTGAAAACATACCACAATGTTTCTTCATCCTTCCTAATGCTGTGACCTTTTAATATAGTTCCTCACATTGTGGTGACCCCCAGCCATAACAATATTTAGCTGCTACTTCATAACTATAATGTTGCTACTCTTATGAGTCATAATGTAAATATCTGATATGTAGAATTCTGATATGCAACCCCATAAGGAATCAAGACCCACAGGTTAAGAAACAGTGTACTAGATGATCTGCTTGAGTACACAAACAAGGAGCCATATAAGCATTTCCAGGGTCTCCCCTGGCTAGGCACCCCTTCCTCATTTTTCTCCATGGTAATACATTGATCTTGGTGATTTCAGGGTTAACCTCCTCTTGTTACTTGTCTGCTAGCTAAAATGGCTCTGTCCAATCTCCTTTAAAGAGGCATCTCTGTCGGGTGTCAGTGTGATTTTAGTATGACATTTGTCTTATCACAGGCTCTTCTATCTTCTTTCGCTAAGAGCAAAATAATTGGTAGTGTTCAAACCCAGGACCTCATCTGTGAGCAGTGACCAGATGGCAGACTGGCATCCAGGGGCCGGTCTCGGTATTGGTATTGTGGGGTCACACCTTCAAAGAACTCACAGACTCTTAAAGCCAATAGGAAGTCTTTATCCACTGGCTGGCAAGCTACACGGGGAACTTGCCCAAATTATGCAGCCACTAGTCTAATCCATCTTGGATTTTATGCACAAAAACCATATCCTGGTTGACACACTTCAATTAGCAAGAGCAGTTAGCAACCAGCAGAGCTACAGAAGCCAAAAGCAAGGCTAGTATCCCTGGGGATGTCCCCAGAACTATGGGCTATGATGGATTAAGCTTTCGTTCTCTTCTTGGCGGGAGTCAGAGTCTGTGTGGCTCCATCATGGTGTCAACAGTACTAATATGTGCTGGGCTCTTCGGTCAGAGTTGGTGTCTCACTGTGGTGTTGGTTGTGCTAAGATCTGGAGGTGTGTCACATGAGGACCCCATCTGTGAGCAGTGACTTCCTGGCAGGCTGGCACACCAGGAGTCAAGCCCTATGGTTCCAGGATGGCTTTGTCTGAAAGGTCTGGGTGGGAAGAAGAGAAGCAGGTATGTTGGCCGGGTCTCTCAGCAATATGGGAAAAGCTGAACCCCAACCTCTTGACCACAGGGGCACTCATTTGCCACAAACACCTTGCAGGGAGCAGGCCTGAACAGAGAAGGGACTGCAAGGAGCTGTCTCGTTCAGTTTCACTCTGGGCTGCAAGCTTGCAGGAAGCATCTTTTATCTCTTTGTCAGTGACTCTGTGAATGTGACTCCTTCATAGGCTTCAATGGAGCAAGATTGTTTGTTCTGATTCTGGAGATCTGTACTCTTCAAAATGTATCCACGTGCCAATGTCAGTGTGCAGAGACATGACCCCGATGGCCGTGACTCCACCATCTCATAGCAAAGGCAATTGGGGACCAGACCATTATTACATAAGTCATCAGGGACAACGGGAACATGCTTTGGGGGCACAGACACTTCTCCAGCTCCTGTCCCTTGCCAGAAGCAGGGGCAGTGAGGCTGATCTGACAAATCACCACAGATTCTAAACCACTGCTTCCAACAGTAATGTTGTGGGAATATTCCAGGTGAGGTGTGTACATGGCCCTCGGAAGAAAACTTAGTGCCCTTCCTCCTCTTCCTCCACTTCCTCCTCCTCTTCCTTCTCTTTCTCCTCCACTTCCTCCTTCTCACCTCTCACTTCTCTTTTCTCCTCCTTGTCCCTGATACCAAGCAGGCATTCTAAAATGTTAAGGGGGAAACAACAAATGGAAGCCACAACCAAAGAGACCAAGGGCACCACCCAGTCCGCAATGGGTCCAGCAGCCAGGCTGGTAGGGATTTAACTCTCTGGATGGAGTCTCTTCTGAGTCACTAATTTCCATTTGTCTGCAGTTTGCTGAGATCGAGTCTGTGACCAGCATTATTGTCCCTTTGAAAGTTGTTGAAATGACATACTTAACTAAAGTAACTTTTCTATTTTCTGGGAAATAGAAGAACCTTGCCTTTTCTCTAGCCATTTTTGGAGAGAGAGAGAGAAAAAAAAACTTAAATGGGCAAATGTTTTCTTAAAACCTCCCAGAAATGAGCTTCAGAGTCCCTACTGTTGAATGAAAATGTTGGTTCAGGCAGTGGGAGCTGCAGAGGAAGCCCATGGAGGACTCACTCTCCTAACAGCATGCCTTCACCTCAAGAGGAACTTGGGATGAGGAGGCTTGGCTGCGGTCACCTATCCCAAGCGACATCACAAAGCCTGTGGACAGTGAGCGGAAGAGCCAGCTTCCCTCACACATCTGCTCTAGCTAGTACTGAGTGGGCATTGCCCCGATCCCCAACCAAAATATTTTCCTGGCTGGCCTGGAGCTCACGGTGTAAATCAGGTTGGCCTAAAACTCACAGAGACCAACCTACCTCTACTTCCGGAGTTCTAGAATTAAAGGGGTAACCCACCACATCTGCTGTATCCCCAAGCAAGCTTTTATAACAGGGGTGTTCACGATCTATCTGGGGAATAAGTTTGTGAATGAATGAACAATACCAAAGGCAATGAGAGCTGAGATGTTGACCTTGACCCTTGGAAGGCGAGGTCATCCACGGTGATGTTCTAGAATTTGATTCTAGAAAACATGGCAGCAGGTCAGGAACGGGAGGCCAGCCTGGGCAGAAAGAAGCAACCTGGGAAGGTTCCAAAGGCAGTAAGGGTATGGGTGAGAGGGAGGAGGTGCTGAGAAAATAGCCCCAGCTGGCTGGGGTAGCGATGGGGATCAGCACCAAGGGCTCTCCTGCAGCTGATGAGCCTCAACACACACACACACACTTAGAAAGCAGTTTAGCAATATGTCCATAAAGATAACAGTAGTACTTTCACCCCTAAGGCCTGTGACCTCTTGAGTGATGGTCTTTTGACCAGGTTTCCAGTACCAGATGTGTATTCCCCTTATGGGATGATCCTCAAATTCAGTTACACAGTGTTTGGTTACCCTCATAACACTTGTATCACTATTTTACCAGTGATAGGTAAAACACCTTGCCTGGTAGATCAGTATTATAACATGCAGAGTTCACCAGTAGGTAACACCATTGGTGAATTTTCTTCCTCAGCAGCCCAAAGAGTACCTTCTGGCACCCAAGAAAATTGGCCAGCAAGGAGGAAGTTTTTAGGTCGGTTCCAGCTTGATTTTTCTATGTCCTACAATTCAAGTGTGTGTGGCTTCACTATTTTTGTCTTACAATCTAGTTCTAGGCAACCCATGTTATTTTTGGAAGCCTCTGGGTTCTCCCTGAACAATGGCTCACAGAGAGGTAACCCTCAGCATCATTTTTATAGTCTTCTTTGGCTCCCCAGTCTTTTCGGTGTGTGTAGTGAGAGTTTCCAGCAAGATGTCAAGTTCTTAGAAGTCGGAAGTGATGTCGCTCATTTTCTACTTCTGGCCTCTCTACCTCTGCCCCGGCCCAGGGCTCAACCCTTGCTGCTTTGACCTCCATTTGTAGCATGCCAGTTTCTTGCAGATGACTTTAAAACTTTATCTCCTCTTCAAGCTCCTTGTCTATCATCCGAGCTCTGCTCCTTAATCTTCAGCTGTCTGAGAGAGTTCCAGAGCCCTGTCTTGTCATCACCTCAGATACGATACAACCGAAATAGAACGATTTATATTCAGTGCAAAGCTGATCCTACAGTCAGCTTCCTCACAGTTGTCAAATATATTGCAGTCCCTTCAATCACAAATGTGTATTTCTTTTTTTTTTTTTTTTTTTGGTTTTACGAGACAGGGTTTCTCTGTATTATTTTGGAGGCTGTCAGTCCAGCCCAGCCTCGAACTCACAGAGATCGGCCTGCCTCTGCCCCCCCCCCCCGAGTGCTGGAATTAAAGGCGTGCGCCACCACCGCCCGGCACAAATGTGTATTTCATCACACTCTAGTACATGGAGTCTGACTCAATGCCCCATTCCCTGACAAGCATGGCAGCAGCTGCAGTAGATTCAATGTTACATGTCATCTCTTCTACCATGGTTAACTCCATAGCTGGAAGCCATGTAAGATCCAGTTGCATTGACTCAGGTACTCTGTTATAACAAAGAAAAACAGATTATTCAATTGTGAATTCATCCCAGTCATCAAAAAAAGAAAAGAAAAGAATCTTTCAATGACATCACCTCCTTACTTAAGTCTTTTCCTGGCCTCTTGTGCCTCTTATTGTAAGTTCTGGCCCAAGTGGGGTTTCTATCGCTGTGAAGAGTCACCATGACCACAGCAACTCTTATAAAGAAGAACATTTAATTGGGATGGCTCCCTTACAGTTCAGAGGTTCAGTCCATTATCATCCTGGTGGCATATGGTGGTGTACAGACAGGTAAGATGCTGGAGACGTAGCTTGCTACATTTCCATATGCAGGCAACAGGAAGTAGACTGTCTCACTGGGAATAGCTTGAGCATAGGACAGCTCAGAGCCTACCCTCAGTGACATACTTCCTCCAACAAGGCCACACCTACTCTAACAAAGCCACACCTCCTAATAGTGCCACTCCCTTTGGGGCCATTTTGTTTCAAATCACCACACTACCCTTCTCTGCTTACTGGCTGGGCTACCCTGCTGGCTTCTGACCCTGCTGCAACTGTCTGGATAGGGTGGTATATGGCTCTTCTCCTTGGAGGCCCCAGGTCTCCTGCTACCTTTTCTGACCCTGACCTGGGGAGCAGCCTTCCTTACTTCCCCTTTGCCCCAGAATCTGACTCCTCCATGACGCTTCACAGTGTCTGTCCTACACTGTGTATAGGCACCTTGTCTGCTTTGTCAATGCTATCACCCAAGACTGACGTCACACTGGAACCTAGTGAGCCTGTGTAGTCAGAAGGGTCAGTGGCACACTGAGCTGATAGGGAAAGAATTATGCAGTAAGACCCACAGAGAAAACCTCCTGTTTTCAGAAGAACAGCCTTGTGCTCACTGAGAGCAACGCTTTACGATTCTAACAGCATACGCCATGGTAAATGGTTTCACGGGTCTATATCCAGTACTTTCTGAGGCCCTGAAAAGAAAATTGCACTCACTGTTCTTTACCAAACTGCTATTTTTGTCAAATGCTTAAGATGGTTCTGTTTCTTTCTCTGGTTTTAATGTGTCTCCTTAGAAAAGCTTTCAAGTCACGTGTGGGGTGCATGCCTATAATGCCAGCTCTTGGGAGGAGGAGGCAGAAGGATCATGAGTTCAAGGCCAGCATAGATTACATAGCAAGTTACAAAGACCAGCCTGGCTTACATAGCAAGATCCTGTCGCAGTCAACCAAATAAGAAAAACCCAGGAAGGCTTCCGTCCCATCTCTCCATGTAACCAAAGTTCCCGAACGCCGTGATGAATGACCCAAGTGTGTGCCTGGCAAATGTTGTATTGCCACGAAGTGCCTCGGGTCCCTCAATCACTTCCATGCAGGAGGATTTTAGTCAGCAGATAAATGGACAGCAGTCACAATGTTCAGCAGTCATGGTAAGACATGAAGGCTGGTGTATTAGGAGCCAGGTGCTCAGGCTTCAAGCCCTGAAACCCAAGCAAGAAAAGTCTCATCATCCCAGGAAGGCAGCTTCCTTTGAAGAAAGGAAAATCTGGGGACCGACACTTCCCGGGAAAAAGCTCGGCTCCATGCAGGATTCCACCGGGTGCACAGGAATCATGGATGACAGGTTTGTGACCAGAGGTGACGGGCTACTGCCCTCCCAAAACTCCTCAGAGAAAACTGTTGGGGAGTTCCTTTCTCTCTCGACCCTTCCATCTCCTCCAATAAAATCCAGCTGTGGTGGCCTACTCAGTATCACTAGCCGTCACTCCACTCAGCATGGAAAGGCACTGTAGGAGAGTCCAAGGATTTGAGGAGTTGGATGCCAGGAAGCATTGGACAGCATCACACTACCCGGACTCTCTGAGTGTGCAAATCCCCTCCTCTGCCGCAGGTGCAGGGAGATAGGAAAACACTCACGGTAGGCACACTCACTGTGGGCATTTTTGGGTCCTGATCCAGCCAGCCAAGCAGTCAGTGCCCTTGGACTGTGAGTTCCAGCCTTAGGTGGGCCCTTGTGAACAATGCTGGTCTGATTTAACTCTATGTTCCCTCTGCCATCATTTCCATCACCACACGCAGACCCCCGGTTTCTGTCTGTCCTGGTTAGTTTTATATCAACTTGACACAAGTTAGTGTTATCTGAAAGGAGGGAACCTCAATTGAGAAAAGGACTCCAAAAGATCCAGCTGTAGGGCAGTTTTGTAATTAGTGATCACAGGGTGGGAGGGGGAGAGCCCCGCCCATTGTGGGTGGAGCCATCCCTGGGCTGGTGGTCCTGGGTTCTGTAAGAAAGCAGGCTGAGCCAGCCAGGGGAAGGAAGTCAGTGCTGCTTTCTCTCCTGCCCCTCATGGCTCGCTCAGCCTGCTTTCTTATACACTTTACTTCTACCTGCCCAGGGAAAGCAGCACCCACAGTACGCTGGGCCTTCCCAGTCAGACTGCTCTACAGGCTAATCAGATAAAGGCGCTTTCTCAATGAAGAGTCCTCTTATCACAACTCTGACTTATTTCAAGTTGACAAACAAACAGTTAGGACAGAGAGGGTGAGTGTTTTGCTCGGGTCAAGAACCCTGGAGGTGGTTAAGTCAGAATCGGGATTTTGGCCTAGTGCTCACGAGGCAGAGTGCTGACCTGGGCATGAAGAGGCCTGGCTGATGATTTAGGTATGGCGAAAGCTACTTGTCAGCTAGAAAGTTGGAAGCTGTGCTTTCCTGGGGGATCTCTGACATTCTGTGATTCTGTTTGCTAGGATATGTGGCCAACCGTTTCCATCTTCTACTTATCTCTAGTCACTAGAGGCCCACACATGTAATCCCAGTACTCAGGAGGGCTAGGTGGAAAGTTCATAACTTTGAGGCCAGCCTGAGCTATGAAGCAAGACCATATCTCTTAAAATTAAAAAAAAAAGACTATGAAAATTGGTTTTGTAGGCTAGCAATTACCAGTGAGAATTCATTTCCTGCCTATGTTAGGATAGCTGAAGAAAATCACTAAGGAATTAGCAAATTCCTCGGTATTCTCAAGCCTCTTTAAGTAATTTGTGCGGCACAAATCCAAAATTAAGTTCCAGCTTTGTCCTAAGCTGCTGCAGGCTGTCTAATTACAATATGGTTGGAGTCTTGGCTGAGTGCTGAGCAGCTTTCCCGGTAACTCTTTCTCAGGAGAGCTGTCATTTAGAAGGTGAGCAATAAGCCAGCATTGCAGTCTGAACTCTTGGAGTCGTGGTTCCTTCAGACTTTATGTCACACACTCAAGTCACCTCCGTGTATCCTTCATTAACCTGCCTGCAACTGGAGTTGACCCCTCAAAGTGAGAGTCAGCTCTCCAAATAGAGCCTCGGTTTCTATGATAGTCCACTAAAAGGGAAACAAAAATAATAAGTTCCTGTCACAAGAACTCTTTAATCAAACCCACATGAAGAAATAGCCTTGCAAGGCAAGGCAGCTGACAACACCGATTCCCTGGTACTCACCCTCAGCTCAGCACCCGCCCACTCTCCTGGAATTATCCCCCCTTTTAACATTGCTCTGTTATTCCTTGTTTTACTTCAGGTGATAATAGAGGTCAGTGCTCTGTTAAAAAGATGAGGATAAACCAGAAACATCTGGACCAAATGACAGTTCAGATCCACCCAGTGTGTAGAGCATTCTCTCCTATGATTTCATTTTGCGCTGCTGGAGTGGATGACAGCCTTTGATTCTTGCTCTGTGGCCTTTCCCTGCAGATAAGAAATAAGACTGTATTGCTAGAGCCAATGGAATAGACACAAATAGCGTTTGTTGGGGGGGGTAGGAGTTTGCCGTTCCGATAAATGAATCTGGCAGGCAGCCTCACTGACAGGTGACAAGGGTGACAAGAAGAAATCATGACTGGCACCTAGAACTCGAAACACTACAGAAGGTCATTGTGAAGCAGCAATGGTCAGTGCAGATCTAGAGTCACCCGGGAAACACACTTCCTGACACAGCGATGAAGGGTTCTCAAGAGTGCATGAGTCTCTGTACAAGCCTGTGAGGGATTGTCTAGATCAGGTTAATTCATGTGGGAAGACCCTACTGTGTGTGTGGGTGGCACCATTCGCTACACTGATGCCCTGGACTTATTAAATAAGAAGGAGAAGGCAGCAGCCTCACTTCTGCTCCTGACTGTGAAAGCAATGTGACCGCTGGGACGGGCTGTTCCTCAGAACGGAGTTAAAATAGACCTTAAGTATTTATTACAGCAACCAGACAAATAACGGAGGCCGGCACTGCGGGGCTAAGTGCCTGTGCTTTGCAGGTAGTCCTCCTAGATACGGACGCCTCTTCTTGCTGCTGGAGCATCTGAAAGTGGAATGAAGTATGCAACACGGGAAGGGAGCTGATAACAGCTACAAGCCTTATGCAACCAGGCAGTGGGGTTTGAAAGAAAATGGCCCCTGCAGGGAGAGGCACTATCAGGAACCGTAGCCTTGTTGGAGTAGGTGTGACCCTGTTGGAGGAAGTACAAAGCCCATTGTAGCAGTGGGATTTGAGGTCTAATATGTGCTCGAGATACCACCCAGTATCTGAGTTTACTTCCTGTTGCTGGGCAAGAGGCAGGACTCTCAGCCACCTCTCCAGCACCATGTCTGCCGGCACGCCACCATGTCCCCCCATGATGATAATGGACTAAACCTCTGGAACTGTAAGGCACCCCAGTTAAACGTGTTTCTTTCTGTGTTGATATCTTACTTGAACAAATAAAACCTGTCTGATGCTCTGAGTGAGCGAGCCTGTTTCTTCCCGCTTGTATCCTGTCTCTGCCCGCCATCTCACTTCCTGTTTCCTCCCAGCCATCTCACTTCCTGCCTGTCTGTACAGACCTCCAGACCTCTATGGCTAGCTAGTGGCTGGCTCCGCCCTCTGATCTTCAGACAGGTTTTATTTGTTCAAGCAAGCTATCGCCACATCTTTTATAAAAGTTGCCGTGGTCATGGTGTCTCTTCATAGAAATAGAAACCCTAAGACAGGAGTCAAACACTTTTCCGTAGGATAATTTCTTCTAGGACTGTCCTAAATCCATACACTTCAAGCCTTGGACGTTCAGGCCTGCAGAACACCTTAAGAAACCTGTAATTCTCTAGAAGGATATACGTTTCCCAGGTTGCTCTCCAACAAACACAACCCAGGTGGCTTAAAGCAACACAGGCTGATTTTGTATGTCTCTGAAGGTCAGGGTGTTAACAAGGCCTTGGAAGTGAACTTCCACGCTTCATCTGGCTTTGTCTACCACACTGTTTCTATGCCCTTAAGGCTCTGACGCCACCCTGCCTCTTTAATTTCCTAGAGAACCACAGAGCATGCCACCCACAGGAGTGCCAGTCATTAAGGCTGCCAACCCATTTGTTCCAGCTAGCACAGCTCTCTCCTGCCACCTTGTGGTGCAATGTAGATTTTATTAGGTTAACTTTTTTTTTTCCTATTTCAAAGCCCAAACTCACCTCAGCTGCCCCCTGCCCTCTTGGCCAAACTACAATTTTAAGCTCATATCCCTAGCTAGCCCATTTTGTCCCTAGATGTTCTCAGGGTGCCTTTGGCTCTTTTGACTGCTCTAGGGTTTTTCTGTACTCTTAGTACAGTCCTCCTCTTCCTCCTCCACCTCCTCCTCCTCCTCCTCCTCCTCCTCTTCCTCCTCCTCCTCTTCCTCCTCCTCCTCCTCTTCCTCCTCCTCTTCCTCCTCCAGCTCCTCCACCTCCTCCTCCTCCTCCTCCTCCTCCTCCTCTTCCTCCTCCAGCTCCTCCTCCTCCTCCTCCTCCACCTTCTCCTCCACCTCCTCCTCTTCCTCCTCCAGCTCCTCCTCCTCCTCCACCTTCTCCTCCACCTCCTCCTCCACCTCCTCCTCCTCCAGCTCCTCCTCCTCCTCCTCCTCCTCCTCCTCCTCCTCCACCTTCTCCTCCTCCTCCTCCACCTTCTCCTCCACCTCCTCCTCCTCCTCCTCCTCCTCCTCCTCCTCCAGCTCCTCCTCCTCCTCCTCCACCTCCTCCTCTTCCTCCTCCAGCTCCTCCTCCTCCTCTTCCTCCTTCACCTCCTCCAGCTCCTCCTCCTCCTCCACCTTCTCCTCCACCTCCTCCTCTTCCTCCTCCAGCTCCTCCTCCTCCTCCACCTTCTCCTCCTCCAGCTCCTCCTCCTCCTCCACCTTCTCCTCCTCCTCCTCCTCTTCCTCCTCCAGCTCCTCCTCCTCCTCTTCCTCCTTCTCCTCCTCCTCCACCTTCTCCTCCTCCTCCTCCTCTTCCTCCTCCAGCTCCTCCTCCTCCTCCACCTTCTCCTCCTCCTCCTCCTCTCCTCCTCCTCCACCTTCTCCTCCTCCTCCTCCTCTTCCTCCTCCACCTTCTCCTCCACCTCCTCCTCTTCCTCCTCCAGCTCCTCCTCCTCCTCCACCTTCTCCTCCTCCTCCTCCTCTTCCTCCTCCAGCTCCTCCTCCTCCTCTTCCTCCTCCTCCTCCAGCTCCTCCTCCTCCTCCACCTTCTCCTCCACCTCCTCCTCTTCCTCCTCCAGCTCCTCCTCCTCCTCCACCTTCTCCTCCACCTCCTCCTCTTCCTCCTCCAGCTCCTCCTCCTCCTCTTCCTCCTTCACCTCCTCCAGCTCCTCCTCCTCCTCCACCTTCTCCTCCACCTCCTCCTCTTCCTCCTCCAGCTCCTCCTCCTCCTCTTCCTCCTTCACCTCCTCCAGCTCCTCCTCCTCCTCTTCCTCTTCCTCCTCCTCTTCCTCCTTCACCTCCTCCAGTTCCTCCTCCTCCTCTTCCTCTTCCTCCTCCTCCAGGTCCTCCTCTTCCTCCATCTCCTCCTCTTCCTCCTCCTCTTC